CTGCACGTACAGACACACCCTTACCCAAACAGACATGACATACACATCTCCTGGTGAACAGGTAAATCTTTTGACAATGCCCTTTGCCTTAGTTTTAAATATGCCTGTTGATAGAGAACTTGACCTTTGACCTGCTTTCACGTTTCTGAGCTCTGACGAGATACCTTTTCACAATGCTTTACTTTTTCAAGGCCCGTGCTGCTTTATTTTTACAAGGCCTGAGGCCTATATCGGGTAAAGGCCCTTTTAGTTTTGTCTTTTCCACATTTCTAGAGTGGTGTGGCGAGGCCCTAACTATGCCTATCCAGATACATTCCGAATGTTCTGAATGTTGTGCAGTTGAGCGCAAGGCCCTACATGTCAAAAACAAATACCAGGGCAGCGGGTAGAGACTCCGCTACCCTCTTTCCCACAGCGGCAAAATAACAAACTGATCAAATTGATAACAGGGGGACCGGGGGGCCAGGTCCCACTAGCAGCTTTGAGTTTCCTCAACGCCTGAATCTGGACGTGTTTGTGAAGATGTGCAGCTGAGAATACTCAACGCCATTTCTGCACATTTCCTCAATCACGTCCAGATTCAGTCGTTGGGCGGCTGAGGATACTCGACGCCATTTCTGCACATTTCCTCAATCACGTCCAGATTCAGGCATTGCAGAAACTCAACGCTGCTAGTGGGACTTGGCCCCCGGTCAAAACCTCACAGTTCCGTTCTCCAGTGAGAACAAAAATGCCAGAGAAAAAAAAAAAATAAAAAAAAATAAAGCCAGAGAGCTGGTTGGTTGCTTGCCCGATAGTGCAGTCAGCATTCCTTTTATCGGTTATCCTACGACTTAGGGCGAGATCCCACTGGCAAAGAGGATTGTAGTAAGTGTCTGAATGTGGACGTCGTTGTGGACAGGGGCAAAAATTTGTGACTGATCTACTTTTCTGCATCTCTGTGTGGAACACGTCCAGCCAGATTCAGACTCTTTGCCAGTGGGATCTGGCCCTTAGCAAGGATTCCGTCAGTCAACCCATTCGGGAGCCATTTTGCGACAGAGCGCCGCACCGCACCACTCACGGAATGCAAAAAAAAGACACAAAATATGGTGGTGACTTCATTCTCATTTTGCACATTTTGGTAAGTGGTGCGGCAAGGCCCAGAAGGTACGTATCGCTTTTTCAAAGGCATGCCCTATGTACCGGATGTACCGGGGGCGCGCTGGGCCTCACTGAAAAGGGACCAGAACTTAGACTGCACACTTCCAGAGAGAGAACTATCCAGGAGCAGGGTGGTCGGGTCAGAGGAATCTCCGCACTCCCGTTTGACCCAGAAGAATGGGAGTGGAAAGGTCGTAAACCCATGTCGATCTGGCAATACACGGTGAGAGGAGGATACACACAAACACATAAACGTCATGCTTCCACAGCGGTGGTGCAAAACCGGTGGAAAAGAGACTCGCCGCTGCAAGAGAAGGATCTGCGACACATTCCTTGGTCCACCTATGCACACATAATGCCAACATCCTACAGGGCCCTGCAATGGCAGATAATACATCGCTGCCTGCCGATGCCTGATTGGGTAACAACACGTACTAAACTGGAACAAGCAGAACTTTTGTTCCCTATATGCTCCCATTGTGGAGATGGTGCACAGCGCAGACGGGCAGACCTGGAACACTGCCTACTGGCGTGCCCAATGGCGGTGCAGGTGTGGCAATGGTGGGACGCGATGTGGCACGAACTCACTGCATCTCCATTTCAATGGGATGTAGCCCTCATATTGCTGGGGGGAAGAAAGACCTTTCCGCCCGCCTGGTCACCCTTCCAGGCAAACCTCTTCAAACACATGAGGCTCGCCCTCCTAATGGTCATATGGAGAATGAGATGCTCAACAAAACGCAGAGAACACGCCTTTGGCTTTTACCAAGCCAAGGCGGAACTGCTTCAGGTGATCCGAGCGATGGCGGCAACCCAGGACCAGGCAGACAAACAAAGACTGATCATGGCCTTCACACAAAAATGGATAGACCCGAACCGCAAAATGGCAGAAGTGCAAAGCGATGGCAGGCTAACATGGAAAAACTGGGCTGCAGAGGGCCATCGATGGGTATATAGATCGGCAAAGTGTTTTCCTACACCCCTCCCAGAACACCTAGACCGTGCACTAGATGACGTACCACGGAGCGACGGGGAGCAGGACCTCACCCAGGATGTTGGGGACTGCTCCCCCCCTCCACCCCCTTCGCAGGTTCCCCCTCTTCCGTCTCAGCCCCCTCCTTCGATCCCAATGCCCCCCCCCCCCCTTCCCTCCGACTCACACCCCCTAAACCCTATGCCACCCCCCC